ATTCTCTTTTTCCTTATAGCACTCGCTCCAATAAATGGCATTTTAAGTGATACTTCACAGAGTGCAAGAGTCTTTCTTACTGGGATCATAGCAAACACTAGCTCTGGCGCCTTGCAGCAGTGTACAACAACAGCTCATGGCAGCACACAGACTTATGCCCCCTTCACAAGCCTCAGGTAGCCTATTTCCAACTCAATGCAGCTATCATCCAAGTAATAAATACACATTAGGAAGAAATAATGGGTACTCGGGACACACAATTCTCCTGCCTAAAGACAAAAGAACCCCACCTAGCATTGTATTTTATGCTTCATTATCCTGCTGGACAGCAACTGTCCATCTGCCCTTTGATGTGATCTCAGCAATATTTTCCAGTAGCTGGAGTTCTCTTCCTGCCTTCCAGCCATGGGGAAAAGCAGGATTAAGTGCAGGCTTTCAGACCATGAAACACGTAGGAAAGGGTAAAGCAGAGTCATTTAACCTTAGCAGAAGTATTAAAAAAACCAAACAAACAAACAAAAAAAAAAACCACACACACCACGATGCAGCAATCCCACAGTAGCAAAGCATCAAGAAAAACAGAGCTTAAAACAGTGGCAAAACAGTCCTGGTGAGTCCTTTCAGCTCTTGTTACTGCCTGGAATTTTATACTATTTTTCCACTGTTTTCTTTGTCCAAGTTACAATTGCCTTACCCCAAGTAGCTATCTTAAGGAAAATCTAGAATAGGAGGGGACAATGGAGAAAGAGAGCTAGGCTGACCTAATATTCAGAATAATTGTTAAAATATTGGCTGCAGTTTAGTCTAGCAGGAGCTTACCACTCTAAGAATATATGCTAAAGCATCTCAAAAGTTATTCAACTTAGTCTGTACTGAATACGAAAGCTTATAAGTTGTTAATATTTTCAAGACAGAAACATCTCTGTATTATTACAAACCCCTTCAAACACGGACATTTCCTTTAAAAAGAGAACTGAGTAAAATGCGTGGGGTCAGAGGCATATACTTAAACAACAGAACTACGGTTTAAAAATAAGAACTCGAGTCTTGACCTGTCAAGCGCAAAGTCCAGAGTATCTTTAAGCTAACAAGCCTGACTCAGCCCGACTCAGTCTTCCTGTAGAGCAGCAGGAAGAAAAAACAAAGCAAAACATAAAAACCACACACCACACCCACCATACACCCTACTGTTGTGATGCCTTTGACATGTCACCCCCGAAACTGCAGTTTTGCTCCAAACATTCCCTCTCCAATACAAAACCTCAATTTCCTCTTTGGGACATGGTTAAATACAATTATAGTAAAGATCCTGTAAAAAGAAAAAAGAAAGACCTTTCACACCAGATCATCACCACAGCAGCAAAACAAGGAACAAAGAGACAGCAAGAAGATCTATCCTGAGGTTCTCACCACAAGTAACAAATTAGAACTTATTTCAGGAAGCGCTATGTGCATTTCATTATACGGATGAAATCGATCAGAAAGCAAAGCACAACACAAGGACTGAAAACCAGCTATAAGCAGCACCACAGGAAACAGAGACCATGGTATTTGCTCACCAGAAACACTGCAGACTGGTTCTTTTTCATACTCTGATATTTCCTCTTGCCCACTCCTTACTACCAGAGTCAGATTTCCATGATGCCTTGTACAATACAGAACACATTTCTGTGATTCCCTGGGGGGATTTTCTGTTCCACCATAACATCTCGCACTTAGTAATGTCTCCTCCAATCTAGAGCTTTGATACAGGCAAAATAAATTCCACCTCAAAATGTATATAAGATGATAGATAATGCATTTAAAAAAAGAATGGTACCAAAATGACTTATGTAACAACAGACCTGAGGAAAATGATCCAGCTGTAAGGGACGTCCCTGGGGACAGTCAGTACAAACTAAAGATCTGAGCATCTAAGCTCCTTCCTGGACTTAAAGGCAGAGGTATCTTAGTCCAAAGGCTGCCCCTTCCCCCAAAACTTCCACACTGCTTATCATTTAGCGAGGTCACAGCTCAGTCAGCAATACCAAAATGATATCCAGACGCTCTCACAGCACGAACATGAGCTCCTGCAACTTCTCTCTGAGGGCAGCAAAACTATAGGACTGCAGATACTTCTGCAAAGTAGGCGTAGCAGAGTCTGATGCTTAAGGAAACGGCAGCAAGACTACCATGCTGGAGTCAAACACAGGAGCATAAAGTGAACACAGGGAAAGCAGAAATCCCTATTTAGGGCCAGGAGGAGGAAAGAATTTAAGAAAATGCATTAGATGAGAATGTACTGAACTTCTCTGGCAGTCCCTCATCTTCTGCACACATTTATTTATTCTTGCATGTCACAGCTCTAAAAAAAATATAAACAAACCTGAAATCAATCTTTTGAATGCAACTATACTCAGTGGAGAGACTTATTTCCAGCAGTGATACTGCTTTTCCAGTTTATATCACCATGCATAACTTTTACCCTCCAAGTAGATTAGCAATTCTAGCCTTTGCTCTTCCTTCAGTTAAGGGGGTTTAATATAGAGTGATAGATTATGTATCCATGATGCCAGAAGAAAGTCTCGAAATTCAGTCTCAAGTGTAAAAATCCACTGCTAGGCACATCAACATTCTTTTCTTCCTGCAAAGAACCTTCTATTTAATTGCCATCACATTCCCCAAGACCATATGAAGATATTAAAAATAATGAGATAAGTCCCAAGGGATTGAAATACAAAGAGAACATATCCTCCCTTAAATGGTTCTGGGTGAATATAGCATACTGTATGCTATTCATTTTAAACACAGAAATACACAGCCCAAGTCTTCTCTTAATTGGACTAATTTGTTACTTTTCGTTCCTCTCAATTTCTGTCAGCACAAAGTGCAAGGTGGGTGGGGGAAGCAGCCTCTCTGACAACTAAGCATGAGTTTAGTTTTTGTCATTTTTTTTTCCCTTCCTTCTCGATGGATTAAGCAGCTGCCTGAATTGGTGCACATCCACTCATTCCCACAGAGCTCTCCTGAGGCACAGCAGCTATGGGCTCTGCCTGCACAGTTGTCTTCTGACAACTTCTTTGTTGCAAAACATTTTCTTTGTGAATTTGAGATTTGAGAAATGAGAAAGTGCATCTCAAACACTGATCTGAGACACTGTATTTTGATTTCTCCAGTTTTCTTATGGAATAGGATTTGGAGATCTGTACTATAAACTACTTCCTCTTAAAATCAGCCCAAACTGCATTTCATAAGCCACATACCTACACAGCCACGCTATAACCCAGCTGTTAGTCTGAGAATCCCAGGACACATTTTATGCAGGGCACCTCACATTACCGTTATAGGTACGGTCTTGTTTCAGTACGACTGTAGCTAGGATCCGTCTCTCCTTATTGCTCAGAAAAAGTCTAACGCCAAGGTTGTGAAATTGGCTTGGCCAAGAGAATTTATCCTTCCCAAACAGCACTGCAATCTATCACGCTTGAAGGGTTAAATATTCAATTACACTGCTCAGAAGGGCTCTGTTAGCCAGCCCACAGTCAGGCCAGGTGAGCTGAAGACCAAAAGTTTCCCAGGTGAGAACATACAGCTTACAAAGCTTATACTCATGATAAGTAAATCAGTGAAAGCGATTACTTACCACTTATCTACAAAGTGAAACTCTTTAAATGAGCTGTGCACTCAAATACTTGCATATTCAGCTTTCAAGCAACAATATTCGGCCCCAACTGCCATATTCAGTCCTATGGACTAAGCACCAGGAGAGATGCAGCAAGTCAAACTTAAGCACAGTGGTCATCTTACTTGATTTAACATTGTGTTTTCTACCTACAGTGATAGCCATCCCCCGTGTAAAACACTTTTTCACTTCAAGTATCTGCTGTGCAAAGCAGTATCCTCACACTCATTTTCCTGTGTCACAAGGCATCACTAATACACTGTAGCCACTTAATAGATTCAGACAACTCTGCTGTAGTTAAAGCCATTTCCCAATAGAATAGATTTCCTTCTAGCAAAAGCCAAGCAAAGCCGAAACAACCTTGGAGACTTGATCACCACAAATGTAAAAAGCTTTTCTGTACTGGTGAATTAATTTATCGCTTATTAGTTCTCCCATGGCAAGAAGCCTTCCATAGCTACAAAAGTCAAAGTCAAGAAGTTTATTCCATTATTCTTCACCACTGAATTCCAGGTAGTATGAGGACATAAAAGCAGCTCTATTTGACCTCAGTAGCTCACACTGGGAAAGATCCTACAGCTGGATTTTACAGCAGTAGCAGAATTAATCCTCCCCTATTGGTAATTCTCTGCAGAGAAGCAAATGAATTAGTTCAAGAAAAGCATCACGTTTTGCTCCTGCAAACAAAACCAAAAACAGAGATCCTCTCTGCCCTTGTGCATTCACAGAACCTACAGACTTTAGTTCCACTTCAAAGCAAAACTTGTCATGTTAAAGAGGTTGCCCAGATTCAGGGGTCTGTTCAGAGAGCCATTGATGTTACAGGTAGCACTGCATTTTGGATTCATCTGTTGAATCCAGGCATTCAGATTTTGCTTCTTTCTGAACAAGCAAAGCTCCCAGTCCCTTCAGTGGAAGTTTTGCCAGAGGGGAAATGGCCTGGGTTTTAAAAGTTGGCCCTAAGTCACACAAATACTCATGACCATCATCAGGAACTGTAAATAAAAGCAATTCTGACAATAACATCATATACTATGTGAGCTGTAAGCAAGCGGGGCCCGAGAGTCGCCACAAAGCTCTGTGCTGCTGTAGCTGTAGCCATGCTGCTTCTGGTGCCAGATCCAGCTCACGTGCACCTCACTCCTCCTCCCGACTACCTCCCCCAATTCCAGTAAATTTAGGCCCACTCAGAAATCCTTGAGAGAAGATCTGATTTTTTTTTCTCCCCGCATCTCAGCCTGATGAGGACAACGTTGTCAGTCCATCCCTAGAGGAGCTTAGTTGCTTGCTGCAAAACTGAGGGAAGAATGGGAAGAGGAGGACAAAAACTTGAACTGACCTCGTGCATCGAAGAATTCATCATCGGAGCTCTCCACCGAGTCATCGAGGACGTTCTGCACGTGCCACTGAGCACCACTGAATCTGCGTGGGCCAGCTGGAAATAACAGATAGACTCACATTAACCCATTGGAATGCTCAGTTCTGCTTCTGGCTTAAAGAAGAAAACAAATTAATAAAAAAAAAAAAAGCATGTAGATATCTTGAGAGGATCATTTTGCTCAGCGCACATACTTGAACTTAACCAGCCAGTCAGCCACTAATGATGTGGTTCATAAGGCTCCTAAAACCTGTTCTTCACTCTGAAGATCACTTTTCCCCAAATTCTCACTTATGTTAAAAGGCATAAAACTCCAAAGGAGAGAGGACATCTCCTAGGCTTTAAACAAAATGGTAGGGACTTAAAAGGCAAAACGAGCCCTTTCTCTAAACAGGATATAGGCCACCAGATAACATAGAAGAAAACACTTGTTTACTTTTATGCCAAGAAAAAAAAAAAAACACACATACACACACAAAAAACTAGCACATTTCAGTATCTCACTAATTCACTGCATTTCTTTTCACCACTTTCAGCATTTATCTCTACTGGCCTGGCTTTTGAACTGAAATGTTTACCCAGCATGCAGCTGATATTCTGGGATCATAAATTAAGACAATCTATTTCTTAATCCTTCAGAAATGCAGCCTTTGCAGAACTATATAGTGGAGCCTTTTCACTCACACTGATACAAACCAGCAAGCACCATAGTATAATTAGATGTCTGCCACCTTTCAGAAAGGGAAAGAATACAGAGATCTTCTTCTTCCCTTTCAGTGTCTGCTTTTCTGCAATTCATGCTGCTAATTGCTGCAAGAGCCACCCATCTGGCTCATCAACATGAATGGTATTTAGCAATAACCTTACCTCCCGCTATAAATGAGAGGACAAAACAACAGGAGAAAGACCAGAGAAGAAAGCAGAGAAAGCAACTGTTCCTCTCTTTCATTAAAACACCACCATCATCACCAGCACAGAACTGGCTGAGGACTTCGCTTAAACCTTTAATCCTCCTCCAGTGTTCTTTCCAATACCACTTTTGTCACCTGCTTTCAAATGGGCTGGAGTGGATTAACATCAAAGCTCACCCTTCAAACAAGTTTTCAGTAAATGCTCAATATTCCTCACTTCCAGTCATTGTTTGTTATTTAGGCAACTGGAATCACAGGGTGAGAAATATATAGGAATCTCTCTCATTTTCCCTCCCCCACTCCCCAAATGGCTGTCCAGTATCACGTGGCCTTTTCCATGGCATGTAGGAAGGCCTTTTTTTCCAAGGATCAAGCTCTGCCGGTAACTGCAGCCCCTCCAAGCTTTAGCATTTCTAACTCTGTCTAAATTCTGTACATAGTGGAAATACAACAGTCATTTTCAATGAAATAAGGGCACTGTTACATTATCAAAAAAAAAAAAGTATTGTTTCAGGTTTTCCAAAGTTCCCAGTTGCAAAATACTTTTTGTAATAATTCTTGACAAAAATGGTGAACTTTCCTCTAGGTTTCACATTAAAGAACATCAACGTGACTCTACCTGCTAAGGGGGCAGTCCACCAGTGAGGGGGGCATTTCATTTACAGTCTCTCCCTGAGAAGGTACAAGTGGATATGGAAAATGTTCTATCAAAAGTTCTTAACCAAAGCACAGAAAACCTCAGACATTTTCAAAATGAAAAACTAATTTCATCATATAATTAAACAATTTCCAACAAGGAAAAATTCATCTCCAAATCTGTCAACTTTGAGAATGTTTGCTTGTTTTCCAAACACAACGTCTGGAGCTGTACGTATTTGGTGTAAGAATACTGCTTTTACATTTATTGATTTGAATCATAACCTAGCTCATACCTCCACATTTGGCTCAAATGGGGCAGTTTGCATGTCAAGTCCAGAATTTGCAGTTTTGCTCCAGTTTGCAGTTTATTCTTTTTGCTTGATGTTTTTTAAAAGCTAAAGTAAAAAGGAAAACAAGAGAGGTTTGGTCAAAACTCAGGAGCATGACGACTGTTCACTTTCTGCTTCTGCTTCACCCCAAGAGAAGTCCCAGCTAAATCAATATGCACCGGAACATAACTATTAATCTTTAGCTTTTATGGGAAAAATAAGTAAGTTTACTTTAAAATTATTAGCATAAGCCAATCCCTTGCTATTCAGGGCCAGGAAAATATATGCAACATGCAGGCAAGTTACGCTGCAGTAGTCTGAGGATATCTAGTAGCATTCTCCATGAACCCTATGGTAGACAAAGGCTACTTCTATGGACTGAATGATTGTGTCAGACCCTGCACTCTAAATCTTTGACAGAGCACACACAAGCTTTCTAAATCAACTACTGATGAATTCAAGTCCACATACTGGCTTAACTGTGTCTTACCAGAGGACACCTTTTCTGAACTTATTTTTTTGCTTGCTTCAGATCTCAGCCACAATAAGGAAGTTCTGCACTGAGCCAAGATTAGAAAGATCTCCCCAATTAGGCCATCTCCACAGGCAGTCAGAGCAGGGGACAAAGGTGAGAATTCAGTTCATTGGATAGCTTTTCTCATGATGAAAAGGGTTCATTAAAACTGTAGTCCTGAAGATGAAATCTGCCTAATTAAGTGGCAGATCCTGACCTCAGACTTTCCAAAAGACATCTTGTCACCCTTCACAAGAACAGCAATGTTATTTCCCATTCCTGTCAGAGTCCTAGCATACTCTTTCTGGTGGACACCGTATTCATCTTGCTTTTCCCCATCCAGAAAGCTTCCCCATACTGAAGCTGCTGTGCAGAACTGCTACTCAGGGATTATGAGCATGAAATTCAGCATTCTCAAAACACTGTCTCTCAGTTTCTCAACAAACCCTCGACAATTCATGTTTATTTTTCACACACCCATTGCCAACAACAAGCTGTGATAACCCGCAAGCAAGTTTGCCATATCAGGCTAATAACTACAGACAAGTAGGTATCTTAGAGAGAAAAACAACACACAATGGCGTTTATGCTTAATGGGAGGAGGTCTCTTCCCCCACACTTCAAATGTATTTTTACAGAGTCCTACACTTTCCTCAACACCTATTCTGAGATAAAGATTTGCCTAGCTATCATCAGCCTTTTCTACTTGCAAGCTGCCTAACAACCATGGCTATACCAGGTAAATGTTTATTCTAAAATGCAAGCTGATTAGCCTGATAGAGTAAAATTTTCTCCTGTCAGCTGTGTTGAAACTGATGGATGACAAACTTTTCCTACTAGACTAATAACACACTGGCTGCAACACTTGGCAGCTCTAAGATTCAAAACACTTTGACCTTGAATGAACAGTGCTGCCTCCTAATGAACTGTTTAGTATGTGAATTCTACATGAAGGACAAAGCCTGAAATCTATTAGTCTCCACTTACCTGCAGTTTTACATGTCTTTTAAAGGCTGTTAGAAGAACATGCTCCTATTTTAACATGCCTTCCTGGCTAACAAAGCTAACAAATTTAACAACTTCTGAAAAAAGAAAGAGGCACATGTGACCTTTCCCATATTACATGTATTACAAAGGAAATCAGTTTCTCTACTGGCCTCTTACAAACCTGTTCAATCACTGCAATTTGGTATGTTTTAATTCTTCAGCCAAAAGTCAATCAATGGGATTGCTGATTATTTTCCTTCCTCAGCAATTGTTTACTCCTTCTTTTCATCAAGTCTTGCATGAAATAAAATACGGTTGTCAGTTATCTACATGCTAGGAGTGGCTAAAGACACCATCCACAATTGTGATTCCCCAAGTTAAATTATTATGACTAGGTACCTCTGAATCACATAATCTGTATAGGTAAGACAAAGGAAAATGAATTATTGTTCCATTTCACAGAGGAAGAAGTGCAAACCAAAGATGACACTTTACCCTCGACGTACATAGAAGACATCAGACCTGAAATCTAATTTCCTGAGGCCTAGTCCACAAAAGCATCTTCTCTATCCCAATAGTACAAGAGCAACTCAAGTGGGGGAGGGATCCTTCTACCTTACCTGGGGGAAAATGCCACTAGGTCACGGCCTTTTGTTCTACTTTTACTCTATCTATAGCTGAACTAAACAGCAATATAAATGAAAAGTAGGAGGAAGTCGATTGTATTTGGCCATGAAGAGGGGAAAAATAATAATCAGACAACAGCATTTTAATAGCTTTAAAAAAAAATAACGTGTTGAATTCAGTGTCAGTGTCCATCACGAATACAGCATGTATTGGGAATGTGTTCAGGGATATTTGGCAGCTACCAGAGCTTACATACAGATCACTATATTTTCTGTGAAGTTGTAGACTTCTGGAATATTTTACTAACTGCAGGAAACAGTAAACTGAACTATTCCTTACCAAACAGCACCTTGGTGTCCCTCCACCCAAATATCTATATCCTAAAATTTATCGTTATCGTGGTAGGAAGGAAATTATTCTAATTCTCTAAAGTAGAAAAGTCTGTATATGGTCAATGCTTGGAACAGGGGAAATAGAAGTAGAAGAATAGGAAGGACCATGAACAAGACAAGAAGGATATATGGGAAAGAACTTTGCAAAATTCAGACTTTGGATACATCCAGCGAGTACCCGTAAGCTATAAAAGAACAGAAGGAGGGAAGAATTTGGCCCATCTTTGGAGATGCTGGATCAGTGAAATATAATGCAACAGTATTGGTCTTGGTAGAAAAATTCTTGGATAAACTCCTCTTTTCAGCCTTTTGCAGAATACCAGATTCCCTGATCACAGGTCTTACATCCTATAAGCAGGCAGAATGAAGGCAATAAACTGGAAAATTTAAGAAGAACCTGTAAATGAGCATGATAAATGACAGGTAGGCTCACAGTAGAATACAAGAACAGAGCATTAGACAGAGAGGGATGATGAGAAGGCAAAGGACTCTGCCTTGAACATCTTGGGAGGAGTCAGAATTTTCCTCTGCAAGAAAGTAACTCCTGGCTCAGCCACCCTAGCAATCAAATATCTGTGACTGAAGTTGCATATCTGTGCCACAGCTGTTTGTTAAACTACAGCAATATACATAACTGACACAGACACACTTTATTGTTAATATGCACTTAATGCCTTTTCAGGTTCTGTAAATGCAGACACTCCCAAACTGAACATAAATAAGTTTCAAACTGAGAAAATTCTGCTCAGATTTTCCAGAAGAGGTTTCTCTACTAATGGTAATTCTTCCAAGGCTGAACACTGAGGAGTCTGATTTTCACACATTTTGAGCATTCAGTGACTCTGTAAGAAGCCAGAGGGCTACATTTGCAACCAACCAAACAGCACACACATACTACCAAAAAACAAACAAACAAACAAAAAAAACTTAGCAGCAGTAGCTTACTTGCTTTGAAGACACATTTAGGGGCCTGACTTTTAGAAGTTAGTTTCTTAAGAACTCTTGAAAGTTGTATAACTGTTTGCCTCCAGTCAGACATCAAGAACAGCGGTATCAGAAGCCACCAAGTACCAGGAAAAATAAAAAACAGAACAAACAAGTACTTAGTATTTGGGAAACTTATGTTCAGGATTCATCTTATTATGACTTTCAGAATTCAATTTTTACCGTGTCAGCCAACTGCATCTCCCATGGATTGGTGAAGTCCTGGTCATGTGGTCTTGGCCTCCTCAATTCTTCACCAAAAGCTTAACTGAGATCTAAGATCAGGAAGAATCACTCACTTCTCCTTCCATCTGTTCTATGCCTTTCCTGATAGCTAGTCCCTTTGTAAAAATCACACCTTCAAAGGATGAGTACTCAAAGTTACTGGATTAATCTGGCATTTGCAATACCTGTGCCAGTTCCTTCCACTTGTATGTTATATCCCTTCCCACCTCAAATTCAATTCAATCTCTCTGCTGAGGACAGCCAGTTCTTCCAGGCAGAGATGGTCTTTTACTGCATGCTTGTACCTAACAGGTCTTCAGGCATTACTATGACACAGATAGCAAGTAACATTAAGAGCACGACTAAGAACACTACAGAAATCATTTACCTTATACTGAAGAGTAAGGCAGTTTAAACATCTGGCTCATTCACCGATTTGTATCTGATAATAACAAAGGAGTTTTAAGTGTGGTTTTCTGAATCAAATAAAAAGTCATTAGGATCAAGAAATATATGGCTGTGCTCCACTTCTGCCTGCCAAAATTGAACTAGAGCTTGGAAATTAAAGGATACAGGCTATTTCTCAGTGAAGTCTCCCGGCACACAGCAAAGAAATCAATGTTCCATTCAAGAAACTGCACAATTGAATTTGCAGAAATAATCTGATTTGCATTTGACTGGGGGGAAATGAAGCACTGTTAGCAAAAAAAAAAGATCCCAAGAGAACAACAAAAGAAATCCAAACAAACCCAGTCTTGCTATAAAACATCTTTTCCAAAGCACTATATTCATAACCTGGCATTCTAGCCATAAAATGTAGGGAGATAAGTGACTGCTTTCCAGTGCTAACATGTCTAGTATGAAGCTGCTGGTTTCCTAGCTGAAATATTTACATCAAGTCTAGCAATAGTTTACAGAACCATGGGATTTATATCAAATCCATACATCTTTAATGCATTTATTCCTGTCCTCCATAGTAGGGCTGTCTTTTTATCTTATTTTACAAATGGGAAAACAAGGTACAGAACAGCAAAGTGACTTTTCCAAGAATCATAAGAAATATGTAACAGAACAGACCATGAGCCCAAACTCCTAAGCTAGTGTCCTTACTGGCAGAGAAACTGTTGTGGAAAGAATTCATCATATCTTTTGCTTTTTTTACACACTCCTCTGTCTGATTTACAAATGGCTTGAAAGTCATGAAACAAGGAACACTTCTAGTGGGCTTGAAAAACTCCCAGGATGCTACCCTCTTCCTAAATGCCATATATCACAGAAGGCATTAGAGAAGAACAGTGGATGGCAGATTCGGTTAAAAAGGCCATACCACAAGTCACATGAGATCATCCACAAAGAGAGGAATTTTGTTAAATTTCTTAATAATTTGAGAATAAGCAGACCCAACTACCTGCCTGCGAATACAAATATTATGGTCAGGAAAAAGTAAGAGTTTTCTGAGCAGGGAGGGAAAGGGATAGACCCTTTGAAATACTCAGGGATTTTAAAAAACTGCCCAGATCTTTTGAAAATGCTCACATCGGTGCCAATAAATACAAAGGAAAATCTGGAGAGAAGAAAACAGGACACTTCTGAACCCTTATGTATTCTGTCCAGTCAGGCCCTCATATTTAATTTTTAAAATACACACATATACACAACACACATATAGATATGTATATAAAATATTTTAAATTCATTTTTAATTGATGGAAGTAGATGAATCAGCTTTTTAAGTTCACTTACTTGGAGTGCTGTTCATCATCACAACACAAAGCGTTTTACCCAGGTATATATCTGCATCCCCAGCTGGCTAGCCTGAAAAAGCAACCGTAGAGCAGAGGCAGATGATTTGCTTCAAGGCTACATGACCACAGAATCACAGAACGGTTGAGGCTGGAAGGGACCTCTCGAGATGATCCAAGACCCTGCTCAAGCAGGGTCACCTAGAACAGGTTTCCCAGGACCTTGTCCAGATGGCTTTGAGTATCTCCAAGGATGGAGACTCCACAACTTCTCTGGGCAACTTGTTCCAGTGCTCAGTTGCCCTCACAGTAATAAAAAAATAATTAATTTTTAAAAAAATCCCATCATCCAGGTCATTAATGAAGATGTTAAACAATACTGGACCTAGTACTGACCCTTGGGATACACCGCTAGCTCCTGGCCTCCAACTAGATTTCACGCCACTGATCAAAACCCTCCGAGCTTGGCTGTTCAGCCAGTTTTCAATCCACCTCACTGTCTGTGAGGATGGCCCAGAGAAGATCAAATTGTTTTTAATCGATTTCATTTTTAGGTAGCAAGGAATAATTTTGGCTCCTATGTCAAGTAAGACTTTGTCTCATAGAGCTTAGGCATCTTTGAAAAGACGATGTGGTGTTGTAGGCTTTCAATTTCAATCAAATGGCTCCTGTTTTTGGGAGCAGAAGAGTTATACATTCAGTCCCTCCAAGATCTACAGATGGCCTCCTGAAATCTACGGCTTGTTAAACAAGTAGTCTGCTAAGTAATGTCTCCTACAAAGGAAGGAAAATTGAAAATTTGGTTGCAGTCTGCTGATTTGCAGATATTACCAGAAAGACACAGGTTTAGAGATAGAATGATCACAAGCAACATAAATCCGACTGTCAATAAGTAGTCCTTTCAACTCCTAGTTATCACAATTATATTAAATATTGCAAGGAAGCCAAAGCCATCAATCAGCAGTGCACTCTGTCACGGAGGTCCCACAATTTTCTAATTAGGAAGGAGGTATGGGGATCAGAAGGGAAATGGATATTTTTCTTCCCATCTGTTACAAATACTCAAAAACAAACAAAAAACCACACTGTGACAAAAAAATAGATGTTCAAATATATAATGTTAACACAGTGGCAAACTGAGAGGTTTGGTGACTGGGTTTTTTGGTATTTTAAACATGCGGCCATCATTTCCAAGCACTAAAACAGGCACACACAAAAAAACTCGATTAGAACGAACACTCTGATTTTTACTCAGCTGAACTGGAAGCAGAAGGAACAGAGAGAGCAAGAGAAAACGGCAAGCAAGGTGTAAAACAAAACTGAAAAGCCAGGGAGGATGGGTTCTTCCAATGTCATGAAGGAGAGAAGGAACCATGGGATTTTAAGCCAAGTACTTTCAGAGGCATTGGAAAATGAAAATGGTCAAGCAAAGTAAGCAGATGAAGAGAGATGACCGTAAGAACAGATATACTTGTGGGGTGAAGACTTCCTGGGGTCTAAAAATTCAGCTCTTCATGCTTTTCTGTCTTTGGAGGCTCTATGCCAGGAAGGAAGATCTATGTGACAGAGGGATGAGTGGTTTGGGACTTTGGATGAGTGCCAAAGCACAGCAACATGGGCTGAGCTCTCCTTGGCAGCTCTATTAGCAGCTCATATGGGAGGAGCGAGCCAGACAGCTTTGATTAGAGGCTGTATTGGGAAAGGATGAGTAGGTTTTGAGAGCCAAAAAAAGAAAAACACACAGTGTTGCTCAAGCTCTGGACGGCAGTAAAGAACAGCATAGACCAAAGGAAAGCCGCACTACAAAGGTGAACTGAGCAGGTTGGTAGTTCTCTTAACAGACACTTGTTGAAAGACTTCTTTAGAAACCCTTCCCCAAGATTATAGGAGAAAGCCATAAATGTGTGGCTACAATACCACGGAAGGAAAGAGAAAAAGAAGAGTAACATAGATAACAATCAGGCTGATGTGAGGATAAGAGTCTGCATTACATTTACCTCACTGACTTGGTCTGTACAAGCAGACTCTTCTCAGGATAGAACACACCTGCATACACAAGTGCTCTAGTGGCCAGGTAACTCCCAAAAGGTCCACCAAGAAACCAAAACACAGTTCTCTGAAAAAGTTGTATACATACAACTGCTAGGGTAAACATTTCAGGGCTAGAGTCAAAATCCACTCGGATTCTCAGGAATATTTTGTATCAGGGACTGAGCCTCACTTCTCCCTCCCATTGCACGTGTAGGGTTTTTAGAGACCTTTTGACAGCACTAACTACAGAGCACTGGATTAGAAGGGATAAGTCGAGATTGAATCCAGGACCTGTCTAACAGATGTCAACCATCTGATGATTCCATGGTAGGAATCATCAAGCACCTACAACAAATCCAGATCCAGAGAACTACTGCATAATTCCAAAGCTTGTCTGCTCTTTCCAATAGCTATTAGTCTAATGAGACTTGTTACTGCTCCACTGCTCCGTACAAACCCCATAGCAAACGAACCAAAAAACAAAAAAAAGGTTACAATTGCAAGCGACTGTGGTAGGAAATATCTCTCAGAAAGATCAGCTTATGCCTACCATTACAAAGGCCTAAAGCAAGGAAAAAATTCAAATTTCCCCCAGGGAAGTCTCAATGAGTGGCAAATACAAAAGAACAGGACAGAAACAAATACAAGTGACATGAGTTGTTTTTGGAAATAATTATCTCTATAGCAAATGAAAAATGAAAGAATATAGATTCTCTCAATACAGAGGTTGTCAAGGCAAGATCTTGCCAGGTAGCAGCTTCCGGTTATTCCTGCTACAGACATGACCGCAGAGAGGACAGCAAAGTGGCCATGTGGAGAAATAATAAACTGAGGCCAAACGTCACACTTTTGGAAGTGGCTACGATGAATCTGGATTAGTGAAGCACTGCCCAGTCTTCCCACAAATCCCTTCCCCAAGTGAACATTTTCTTTTTTTCACCTAAATCAATTTGCAGCATCTCTCTAAATACTTCCCCCATGCCAGAAAATGTAATTAACGTGTTTGTTTTATTGTCAGGAATTTTCACTATTCATCATGCCAGGATTTGAAGGGTTTTGTCTGTTCTCTCATCCCCCCCACACCCACCCACCCAAGGAAAAATCAACTCTCTCAGACCTAGCTTTAACAATGCCTCCTTGTTAAGGGGCATAATCAGAGAGGTGTCATTCACCCAAATAACATTAGTATTGTTGCAGAACAAAGCATGATCACCAAAGATTTAGCAGTGAATAAGATTCTGGTCTCAATTGCTGACTATCAAGTTTATCTCGCTTTTGAAGTGGATGAGAAAGTGAAGTCCATTTTAAGTACAGCTCTTAACAAGGGATGCTCGCCCACTCATCTTTTACCTCAGTAATAATTCCACACAGTCTGCTGCTGTTTACCTCTCACTAATGAAAGCTGCCCCCAAAGGGTGCACCTTAGCATCAAAGCATTTCAGTTCAGGTCACGAGCATGCTTCTGCAATGAATCCCCACATTGTCTTCACATCCAGCACTCTGGTTCTCTCACCAGACTGCAGCGGGATTTCTTTCATGTGAGACTAAGCCAGAAGATATGCCTCAGAAGTACACATACTATGCTCCAAAGGGAATTCAGTTTATAGAACTAGATGAGAGTTAGCCTGAAAGAAAACTGCCAAGGATACAGTGACTGATGAAAATCCATCTGCGTATACCAGATATTGTGAAGTTTTACTAGTAAACCAGCAGGCTTAAAAAACAAGAAAATCCCCCAAAACAAAAACAAACAAACAACAAAACTCCACACACCATACACACACCTTTTCATCTAACATTTTTGGGGATTTTTCTTGGTTTGATTCTCTACAAGACCAGATAAGACCTGACAGCTGAATCCTGACTGAATGGCCTTATGAATGTTTTCCTGAAGGTTTTATAGGAATATATTGCAAATAATGCCACAGACACTGCAGTTATATTTTATTAACATATTATTGGTTTTCTTCTCCCTGTAAAAGAATCAATACTATCTGACAAGAACGTTTCCTTCTCCTCTACATCAGATGGGCACCAATAACCTTGCTAGAAAGCTTCAGCACTTTCTACATCAGAAGAAGATTTAGTGGAAGATTATATTCTACTGACTTAAAGAATCCTCTCCCGGACATAACTCTGTCCCCAAAGCTACAAAGTCAATTCAAAGGACTCCAAACACCCCCCATAAACACTGGATTAGGTTCCAACTCTTTTACAAAATTCGTGTCATGTCAGAATGTATCACGCTACCAGTTCTGAGTAGTTCCTGTGAAATGAGCATACAGTTTATACATCCAAAACACTGTCGTTACACCATACATGCAGTCCTCCAGGTTATAATGTGGAAGGTGATAAGAGAACTCTGCTTGCTCAGTCCAGCCCACAGCAGTAGAAACAGCAGTAATTCTGGTGTCTCTGCTGTTCAGATGAACGTTATTGCTCAGCATCAAACGTGCGCACACCTATTGTCAATGTAAACTGCAATATTTTAACCAGATGCAAACCATTATATAGAGCGTTATAAAGGCAAATAAGGATGATACTTGGCAAATCCAGCAATATCTAACAGCAACAGACGCATCAAACCATCTTAGGGCTGACCCTTGCACATGCAGAAGTTCATAAACAAACTCAAATTCATATAGTGTAACTCTGCGAACTCTAGGAGAATATAAGCCAGCATCATTTTGGTCTGACCTGAGGCTAAAGGTGCCCCAGGGGAAGCCATTTTGCAGGGCGAAACCAGCAGTGTTTTCCAGGAACACGCTGTATGATTTGGAGAGCCATCTAGTTGTCCGTTACCTACAAAGGGCCTTCCCGGGGTGCACAGGTGAGAAGAGCGTTTTCATAACATACCTCAACAGAGATACAGGCTATTGCAAACAGCAATTCCCAGTAATGACTCTGCTGAGCCCCCTGCTGTCATATCAGGGCAGGTTTAGTGGTGGAGTTTAGTGGTGGGGCTGTCTATGACTTCTGGCTCAGGGAGCTCTTGAACCACAGACTGCCAGGGAGATATTACACATGAGGAAAGGTGGACCC